CATTCCTGTGAGTTCATAAATCCTAGAGCAATTCCATGAGACCTGAGCTCCTAAATCCTTTGGGCAATGGGAAGGCACAAGCAAGGAAGAGAGACCACAGGTCAGACTGCAACTTCTGTTTATAACCTGCATATAAACATATTTTATATATGTATCCATGTGTATGTAGACATACTTATGTATGTAGACATAAACTGCATCCAGCTCATGGGTGGAGGACCTCTGTTTGCACTGGCAGCCACCTGGCCCAGAAGTGTCTCTGTCCAGGTAGGAACCATGTTGGCTAAAAAGTGAATTTACCTGTTTTGCAGGGATCTAAAGGTGTTGGCCCTTTCTCCTGCGATCTCAAGGCCCAGAAAACACTTCCTGATATTTTCTGCTTCAGGCTGGCCTTTGGCCAAAGCTCGGTGTCCAGTAGCCTGTTCCCTCGATGGTCTACTCATGCCTTGGCCATCTGACTGGCCTGGCATAACACTGGGTATGATATGCAGTGCGGCACCATGACACACACCTTATATTCTGCTGGGCTACAAATTTAGTCCTCTTAATTAATTCACATATGTTATTTGGTCCTTGATGCTATGGATGTCTTTTGCAGAAACAGTCCCTCTTGACTCTTGAGATATGCCATAATAGGTTTTTGCCCCAGCCAAAGTAAAACCTTGTATTAGTCATGAGGTGGCAGCATTCTCAATGCTGAAAAGGAGATGTTTAGTCCACAGAGAGGCTAAACGGTTTCTCTATACTTGGTTCATCAAGAAGGTATAAGTCATAATTTGTAAACAAAATTGAGTTTAAATACATTTTCTTGATGCACTCTGCTTCAAGTATCCCCTAAAATGTATCACTTAAAGCTAGCATTAAAAGAAAATACTATTAAGAGGGCATAAGGTAAACTCATTCAGTTGCTCAAATTGTATAACACAATGAATTAATATGGTAATGTATCTTCAGAGACCAGAAGTAGATAATAGAGGTGAGCAGAGGTTTTCTAGCTTGGCTTTGGAAAGGCAGAAGTAATTTATCATTATGTTGCATTTCCAGAGGAGAGCATTTCTCATATCTTCTGACTCTCCTTCTGAAATCCTCTTAGTTTCCTTTTGAAAACATCCTTTTTGGACATTTTGCTTTCTTTTTATTGTAGACAGAGCTCCTATTGAAACAGCCATACATAGCTTTCCCTGAAGTGGCAGCAAGCCCCAGATGCCTTTAATTTCAGCCTTGTGCTTATAATCTTTAAGGGGCTGCAACAGCCTAGGACATCTCTCTCTCTCATATATTCATCTCATGTCTCCAACTGGTATAGGCAGAATATGAAAAGGATAAAATAATCCACATTCACCCCTTATTGGCTTCTGTGGTTGAGTTCAGGGTGAAGCTCCAACTATGATCAGTGCACTATGAATAACCTCACTCCTTTTCTTTATGGCCATACAAATACATACTATGTCTTTATTAACTTACATGCATTGTCCTATATGAGCCTATTTTTAATTAATAGAAAACAAAGCCCTTTTGACCTTATCCATGGGAAATACTGCCTCATTGATGCTAACCATAAATTAAGCTAATACAGTGTGCATGCCCAACATATTTCTCTCAGGTAACATTCACTCAAATATTAAACAGGGAGAGAAAAGAAGGGAAATCCTATTACTAAAGCCATGGTATCAAGATGGACTCTGTAATTGCTAAAAGGCATATGAGAGACAGTGGTTTTGTTGTGCCATAACGGTTTAAAGGAGAAAGCAGAGAAAAATATCTGATACCATCAAAACAGGGAAAATTTAGCAATGAAAAATCTAATTGCCCAAAAGGGAATGTAGTCTGATCGTATTCTGAGACAAACACCTTCAAAGGAATTCTGTGAAGAATAAAACCCATTGCAATGGAGAATAAAAGCTGCTGTACAAATATATACTAATTAACCGTACTAATTTGTGTGTATAATTAGATAGTCTCTTTACATTTTTTTGTTGTTTTTTAACCAAGCAGGGCACAGCAGTAGCAATACAAAATATTTTACTTTGCCTTATGTATGCTCAGAGCTGGCAAACAGTAGATATCTCCTCACAAATGAGCTGTCACAAATTACTCCTTGTTTGGTGGTGACATCCTTGGTCTACATTATAACTACAGGAAGCCTAATCAATTATGCTCCAAAAATGAAATAAGAGCTCTATGGTGCCAGGGGCATAGCTCATAAAATTAATTACAAGGCAAGTTTACATATTGAAGTACCAGTTTATGGAGGGGCTAATAACTTTTGATGAGACTTTGACAGCATATTACTCACAAAGATTATGAAAACAAAAATCATTTGCAACTGGCTGCTCAGACAGTGGCTTGCTTCTCCCGGCTGTGCATCCCAGCCATAACTCATGGTTTGAACCTTTCCTTTGTCAAGTGCAGATAAAGATGCCCAGTGATGTCCTGATATCTACCCATGAGGAGAGCACAGAGCTTTTGCTGGTAGCCTGCCACTCCCATCAGGTAATTTCTCGTCTCTTTGTCTCTCCCTCCTACAACCCTACGCTACTTCCTGAGAAAATCTGCAATATATGGCAATGAGGGAAAAATAGACCTAAATAGTTTTTTAATGCCAGGCAACCCCCACATTGAAGAAAACCCAGGATGCTGTTAGTGGCTGCAATGAGGAAAAGGCTGCAGGGTGAACCTTTGGATCCTGGTTCAATCCCAGGAGCGAGACATCACAAACACCCCAAATTCAGAGCACTTCCAAGCGCTGATAGTAGGATATAGAATTACTCAGGCATTTGTGTTTGCTCAACTGTGGAGCATAAAAATGTAAAAAGTGAATAGTGACAGATGGCAGATCTTTGGGGGAAACAAGTAATTTTAATGGTAGGAGCAAACAAAGCAAATTGTGGCACAGATTAATGAGGAGCCTTCCATGCAAAGATTCAAAACCTGTTGCTAGTCAGCCCACCAAATGGATGGGAAGGCAGATAAATAGTGGTGCAACTGGATAAATAGAGGCACTGAGGGGATGAGCATCTTGCTTGTACCGCAGCCTGAGCGAATAACCTGGGAATGCCACTAGCAGTAGTACATGCCAGCCGCTGGGTTTCAGTGGTTCTCTGATCTGGCTACAGACTGCTCAGTAAACTGCCTTCAATAAAGCCTCAAGACACTGAAACCCATGTAGAATGCCAAACGATAAATAGCCTGCCTCAAAGATGCTATTCATAATCGAATCTTAAATATAATTCAACTTAATGGCGTCATTGCTCTTCTGTGTACCATTTAGAAGCCTGGATACTGTTCCCTATGAGCTAGAAAGGTATATTGTTTTGAAAGACAAACTGTCAGCTATTCTGCAAGAGAGCTCAGGAGTGATCTGCACAAAACCACACAGATTAACTTCATCAAGGAAAAGGTTACTAGAGAAATGAGACTTGTGAAACTAGTGTATGTGCATATGTGTGTGCATATGTGCTTGTTTCCCTTAATAATTTTCAAATGCACTGGCCAGTTTCAACCAAACATGTTCCACATATAGCAATCTCAAAGACATTGTGTTTTTACAAGTATTGAGTATTGGGAAAATAAGTTGCTGAGCAGGCAAGAGGAAGATCCTATCTACGACCTGTTTCGAAAAAAGCTGTAGGATGAGACAGGGACATCATCCCAGAAAGTTTTACAGCACCTTAAAGCAAATCATTCAGTTCCCAAGAACAAAGTACAAGCGTGTTCTTTAAATGATTGTGATAGTGTTCCTTGTTACTTAGACTGGGCAACAGATTTTCATTTAAATGAAGGTCTCCTCAGAAGTGCAGAGGGGCCTTTGGGGAGGTGCAAGGGAGGAAAAATGTAATTTTTCAGGCTCCAAGTGTTCTTTTGTGTTTTATAAACAGCTGAGTGACAGCTCAGTGATTAATAAGTTACATAAATAATTATAAGCGACATGTAGCTGAATCTAGTCCACATTCCAGACATGGTACATTAAATAAAGAGAATTCTGCTCTTCCCCCAAGAAGAAAATTTATCTGGCAACAGCAGATAAATCAGAAATGATACTGTTAAAGCACATCCAGTTCTTTGGAGAGACAGCTCATCAAAAACAGAAGTTTCTACTGAACACACATTCTCAAGGAAATCAGTTCATTTACTTCAGTACCACCTTGCACTGATTCAGTACAAAATCTTACTTTCTTCCTTTATTCATTCTGTCTGGTTGAGCTTCATTATTTACCCAGAAGTGCCTCTACGAAGAAGAGTTCTGAGCCAAAACCCTACTACAGGCTCATGCGTGGGACGGGAACTGCTAGTTCACAGCACCAACAGGAGGGCTCGCCAGGGAGGCTCATCAACCGTGTTTTGTTGGTCGTGTTTTACAGCAGCATCAAAAACTTCAGGATGAATTGGACCCATCTTTTGGATTAAACCCTGAAAAAGACAAGATTAAAGGCAGTGAATGCCTATGCTTTGTGTTGTGAACGTATATTTATAGTATATAGGAACTGAGTAACATCTCTTTAAGTAGTTCCTGAATTTTTTAGGGGACCTCTTTGTCTTCTGCAGCAAAAAGCAAGAAGAAGTGACAGAAGAGTAGCCTGGCTTAGTACAATGCAGTAGGGTTTGCAAATAAGTTTGTCTGGACCCCAGCTGGGCCCCAAGTTTTCCTCTTTGTGCAGAGGGTAACAACGTGATCTCCAGTAAGAGACAACTACGGTGGGAGTGATCCCAATATTCAGAAAACATTAAGAAGAATTTTGAAATGTTTCTGAGGTGATTAAAAAGTGCTAATTAACACTTAGAACCTCCTTCCCTCACAATTTTTTCTAGATGTGTTATTTAGGTTTATATATGTATCACTGTGATTTTTCTGTCATACCTGTCCTCAATGTGAGTGCTTCATGCCTTCATTCCTCTCCCAGGGAGAGGGGGTCACACAATGAGCTACTTTAGTGTACATTAATTTCTATCATTTTTATATTATAACGCTAAGAAGTGGCTTTCCTTATTTTGATGTTCTAATGAGTGGGTGGAAATAATAAAAAAGAAGAATTCTGGTAACAAACATTGCTCTTTCCATGAATTTCAATAAAACACTGATCATCTAGTATATCATCTTAGCAGATAGCAGCCACATTTCCAAGAAATGTGATTACTTCTATAATGGGAGGGTGTTTTAAGTGGCTCAGATTGTGAAATGAGGCATCATTTCCTAGATTCATATATTTTAGGGCTAGAAGGGACCTGGACGATGATCTGCTCTAAGTTCTCTTGTAAAACCGCCACAAAATTTTGCCCATTTGTTCCTGCAGCAAGTACACTGCTTCTAGTACAGTTAAGTACAGCTTTTTCCTAAGTGGATTTTATTCTTGTTCCTGTTTTTGTTTAGTGACAGCACTTAAACTTTATGTATTTATACTAAATTGCATCTTAATTCCTTTTCTTGCACTTAGGATGATTTACCATTTTTAAGGTAGCTAGCTGACAGCAAGAGGATGACAGAAATTTGGTTTCTGAAGCTCTGCATTTACACTTATTTAAATGAAATTACACTCAGAGCGTCTCCAGAGCAGGAGGCTTGCACTGTTTTTCCAGTTATCGTTATTAGCAGGAGCAGCAGTGGTGACTGGTAGCATCACTAGAGGGGGAGCTGCCAGCTTTTTGCTGGGCCAGGTACGGCTTCAAAATGGGCTGCTTTCTGGGATTAACACACCCACCAAATTTGGGAACCATTTTTCTAGAAAACTGGAGCCTCATCAGCTTTTCGGAAAATCAGATCACATGTTCAGTGTTTCCCATGTAGGAAAGTTTTGGCCTCAGAGCTCCTGCCTGTCACCAGAAGAAGCAGCGGACCTATCCAAATGTCTTATGTGTGTCTTGCCTGTGCCTTCCCTGGGTAAGAGGAAAAACACTTATTCAGCCCCTGCTCTCTTGAGTTGCGGCCATGGGCAGAAAAACCCTATCTGCCCCAATGAGAGCTGCTATGCAAATTTTATCCTCCTGAGTATGCTTCTTTTCTAACCTTGATCTTGTTTTTTCCCCAGTGCATAGAAAGGCCTCTGGTAGAAATGTCACCTTTAATCTGCTCTTTATATTTCTGTAGTACATACTAGTGACCCCTATTTTATTTTGTAAACTTTGCCCTGACACAGCATCAGCTTAATTCCTTCATTTAGGTCCTAGCCAAACATAATTCACCTTGTTTTCATCTCCTGTTCCAATTCATTCAAAGCTCTTCCAAGAACTTCCAAGATTTATTCTGTCATTTTAATCTGTTCTGTGGGAATAGATTATCCAAACAGATGCACACTTTATTTTTAGGGTTTCAGATTTGTAAGCTGCAGTAAAAGTGGAAAAAAAGCAATCTTCAGTAATAACTGAAATGTTCATGGAAATTCTGGCCCATCTCAGTGACTACATAAGCAATGCAATCAAATAAGGCTAGAACCCAAAATATACTAGTGAGATATTAACGAGAAGAGAATATTTGCCTGTTTATTATGGCCTCTTCTAAAGCTTCAGTTCCAGGCCCTTCCAAAACCAGAATCCTCCAACAATCGATGGAGATGGAATATAACCAGATCAAGTGTCCTCTAGCTTGTTATATGCTGGTTTTGTTGCTGATTGAAAAATAAACCCAGGTACAATTTCTTTTGGTTTTACCATACTGTATATTACAGTGTTGCTCTATTAAAGGTAATTTTCAGGAGAGCAATTCAGATAACAACACTGTAGATCTTGTGCAATGCGTTACAACCACTTCAGTTGCATATTGCAATTTTAAAAGGTTTTAACTTTAGGGACAATGGATGGGTCTTATGAAAATGAAAGCCATAGAAATAAATCATCCATCAGTAATGAAAAAAAGAGAATGATATAATTTCTATTTGTCAAGGTATAATGATGTCACCATCCATTTATCCTTTGCACTTAAAGGTTGAAGCTATTCAACAAATCTCTCCTGAGCCACATACATCTGTTGCTTTAATGGTGGCTATAGCAAAGCTTTCTGATTAGTTCACACATCATTCATCAATTAGAACAGAAGGTAGAAGTTATTTCTCCCTACCCACAGTGCTTCATTAAAAAAATAACCTTTAATGTAATGAACGATGGCAGAATCAAGAAATAAATAAGATGAGAGCCTGTGCCTTAGGAGGTCACTCTTTGAAGAATTCCACCTTTTTCTAGAGCAGAGGGAAATGAGAAGAGATAGACAAAGGGGGACTTAACATCTGGCATGAATACATGGTTTTCTCTGGCTTATCACAGTGGCTGCTAGTCCAGCTATATACGTGGCTCTCATGAAGTTTTACCAAAAAGACTGCTGAATAATAGGAGTGCAGTGTTGCTTACAAGAAAAGGTTGCATAGACTTTTGTCCATACTGGTGCTATAATTCTCAAAACGCTTGCAAGGCTGAGTGGAGTGTATTTTACCATTAAGGAAGGCGAGAAATTCGTCCAGAGTTTCATATGACTCTTTTAACTGGGCAATTTTTTTTGTTATATAGTGCATATGCTGAAAAATGCATTTCCAGCTCCTCCAAATTTATTAGCAAACAACTTTCTTGATTGACAGATAGGATATTCAGCCAAAGATGACAGATACAGATTCTATTGTTGTTACAGATTCAGTAATTGTTTCTCAGCAATTTATTCAAAGTACAGTGGCATCAACGGGAGCCAGGTGTAACACCTTACCGCAAGGATAGTAATGCACGGCTGCAGGATGGGAACATGTCCAGTGTCAGGTGGATAACTGACTATGCCCTGAACTGTTGCACAGCTCTAGCAAAGGGTCTCCAAGCACTGAAGGGGTCACAGCTGGGAGCATTGTGCACTGATGATGTATGAAGCTGTTTTCATTCATGTAACAAATTCCGGTCTCAGCTAAGCCAGCTTTGCAGAAAACCATCCTCATTGCCTTAGTGACTTCTCACTCACAGCTATCCAGTTTGTAAGTCAAAGCATGATTTTCTCTCTCTCACAGTACTGCTAGTAACACTGGTGTAAACCCTGAGCTCAGTTCTTCCTCACTATATAACTTCATTAGTAATAATTATTTCAGCTGAGAGGAGAGAAATCAAGCTGGAGCCTGATCTAACCATCCATTTAACTTCTGTTGAAGGTGCAGGATTGGGCTCTAAGCTAGAGACTGCCAGGGCACAATCTGACGAGAAACAAATCCTTTTCAGTAATAGCAGTCACCAGCTTCAGTACATGGCACCCATCTGCAGCCAGGAAATACTTTCAAGCTCTTGCCAGTGTCCTCATGAGTGCCATCCTTACCACAGCCCCTTGTGTTGGCTTTGCAAAGCCACAGTGGCCAGTGTGAAATACACAAAACCTGTGCAACTGAGGGTGGATTTTTCACTGATACCAGTGGGCTTGCACTTAGTTGGTGGGAGATTAAAGTTAGAAGCAGGACCTCTATCATTGATTGGGATGCAGAAAGCAGCAGTCGTAGTTTTCAGGTTCCAGATTGAATTTACTTTGAGAAACAGTCAGTGGAATCAAACCAGCAGAGAATTTGGCCATACCTTCTCTGTTTAGTCTTTCTTAATTAGAAAGCACGGTTCCATGATCAGAGTACCAGGACAATACAGTAGTCGGGACTCAAAACACTTGCTGACTCAGTTACGGTTCAGCTCTGACACCTCTATGACAAGTATCCAGGGAAACGCTCTATACAGGCTGCCATTTATTTTCCCCATGTGACCACCGAGGTCTGGCAGGTAGCAGGCAGAGCAGGAGAAGAGATGACCCCATTCACTCTCTGTCACAACACTATCCCACGGGAAAGATCTCTCTTCCCACAGAAGGATCACAGATGGACTCCTGCCTCCTCTGATACAGGAAGGATGAGATGAAGAGGGAGGCTATTTCTCTCACTATTTCGTGCCTACAGTGGGGAAGAGACAAATAGAGCTGTACCCTCACGAATCAGCTGAGTAGAGCTGAGCAAAACCGTCATCCAGCCACCTCCCTGTGATCTGTGGCTTCAAGCAGTTGAAAATGTCAGCTTGTGAGTGAAGGAGTTTGACATGTAAAGCAAAAAGTGGTGAATCTTCATCTCCATCTTTCCTCCACGTGAAAAATTTCTCAAGGTGCTGGCAGGACCACTTCTCTCTTCTGAAACATGCAATGAAGTAAAATATGCCCAGAGCCATCTCACATCCACAGGGCATGTTCCTGGTTCTACGCAAGGCACTAGTTAATCCCACATTAGGGTTAGGATGGACTTCCTCGAGTTGTGGGTATCTTCTTCCATGAGTAATTTCTATTGTCCTGAAAGCTACCTAGGAAAAACATTGTTTCTTATTGATCAGGCAGAATTTTCATTATGCCCACGGTTTATGTATAGAGTAGACCACACACAAATGTGATATTCTAATACTGATTGCACTTGGCTTGCTCCCATTTGTTATCT